TGTTTGACCTTTTGGATCTTGTATACATTTTCTGCTCTCGCTTCATAAGTGAATATGTGGTATGCCTATATCGAAAATTCTTAATATTTAATAGTTAGCACACTCGCTTGTGATCTTTTTATTCCTGATCATAGATCATGCATAAATGTTTATCGCGTCCCATTTAGGATCGTATATAAAAGAAATTTCACCAACACGCTCAAATTTATTATATTATACAACATATATCAATTCATCATTCTCGAGTTTGTACGAACTCTCAGTCAATTAATCAGAGTTCAAATTATTGAAAAAAGATACTTGATTACTGGATAAATTATGTTTATCCCAATTAAAATTTGACACACACCCTATCGCTTATAATGATTAAATTCTCTAAACCTCACTCATTTTATTGTTGATGTTCATGAAGTCTTTGTATAGCAACTTATGACAATTTTTATCAAGATACAAATTATTATTATCTTCCAATATATATCAGTTGCTAATATTTTAGGTTTGGACTAACCCTCAACCCATGCCTTTTGTCTAGATGTTCGTTTAGCATCTGAATCCAAGGCATTCATATACACTATCGAAGGTTCTCATCTTAACATATTCCTTCAATGTATAATTTTTCAAATATTTGAATGTTCATTCGCTAAAATTTCTTTATATTTGGTGTTTGTTCTAGAAAAAAAATTTCATTACTTATATTAATAATTGGTAAAGTGTGTATACGATAGACTAATATTTCAGGTGCATTCAAAATTATGTATTCCTTGAATAATTAACTTATAATTTTTTAACAAAATATTTTGTAGCAAAATTTGAAAGTTCATACAAACATTGTGGCTTTTCACATGTATTTAAATTATTGGATGTATTTTAGACACATCTATTGTTAATATCTAAACATATATATACAGAGAGTTTATTTTACTTTCAACACTAATTAATACTTTGAACTCAGCTCCTTAGGTGAAATATGATATGCCAAAATTTGGTATGAAATCACAGACTCATTACTATATAGACTTGTTACAATTTTCTTACTAAACTCATATTATTAAATATTCTTCTTTTGACCCAATAGCTCAGTTTACACTATTGTAACTATAAATCTTTTTTTGTTATATATGTGAAGTAAAACATTAATATTTATTTATTACCTCAATCGTCGAATTTAGATTTTTCTTAGCATGAAATATGATGTTTAACGTACATCCTTAACAAAGATTTCTCTAAATTTCACACATTTCATTTTTCAAGGGATCTCGTGTCTCATCATAGAATATGAAGTCAAAGTTCATCAACTATTATCAAGTCATTTTGGAAACTTCAATTTATAATCTTTAATAATAAATAATTCCAAGTCTGAAAAGAAAATTTCTTAGCATATGATGTAAGACCTCAATAGAGCTTGCTCAATCTACATGACTTAGAGAAATATGTTTAAATTATTCATTAAAATGTAAATAAATATTAAGTTTTAGTAAAAATGAGCAGAAATTTACATAGTAATAATTAATCATATATTTTTTGGTTTAAAAAGTGTGATATATATGTCACTCTACGAACATTAGTATACTGTTGCGGACATCGATATAATGCAAAAAAATAGAGTGATATATGTCACTCTCCATCATGATTGTCACGTCGGTCGGCATGCCACCGGTTGAACCATTCAACCGGTACCGGTCATGAAATCGACATGACACCATCGGTATGACCGGTTTACTAATTTCTAAGTAAATACGTAGTTTAGTGAATTTAAGTATGAGTACATGTAATTTTATTTGAAATATTATATTTTATTCAATAGATATTAATTGTACGTAAATTGTCTTCAAATATGGTTTATATATGATTAAATTCATTTGATATTAATGATTTTTTATTTTATATATTTTATTAACCGACATGAACCGACACAAACCGGTTGTACCACTGGTAAAACCATTCCACTTGCTAAACCGGTTTGATAACCTTTCTCTTCATATATTATATATAGATATAATGCAAAACAAAAGCAAAAAAATTATTAGATAAAAGAGAATTAAATATTAAATGAAGAGAGAGACAACTCCTTAAATATGGAAGGAGGATGTTAGCTGGATGGATTTGAAGCTTTGGAAGACCATTTGGTCGCTGCAGGTGCAACCAAAGCTGAAATTCTTTCTTTGGCAGATTTTCAGTCGTATTTTGCCCACTACGGAGGCTTTACTCGAGAAGGAGCTCGATGTCCTGGGGCGTTGCCCGGTTTGCTGGGCGGAGCTGGAATCTTGGAGCATCTTTTCTTCTTTGCCCGGTGGCTAAGGAGTTATGGGAAGGCGGTGGGGTCCTGGGGCTGACAGATGGCCTGGATGGAGCTAACTTTGTGGTTTTCCTTCGTCGGGTCTTGGAGCGGGTAACATCGGATGCCATGATGTGTCGAGTGGTGGCGGTGTTGTGGCGCATTTGGAAGGCGCGTAATTGGGTGGTATTCGAGTTTAAGCAAGTACATCGAGCCGTTCTCAGGCAGTAGCTCCTGCATCAAATTCAGGAGTGGGAAAGGGTGCTCGACGGTGAGGGGGTTGGGGGGCTTGCTGATCCGCCGGTGCAAAGGGGGATGGGAGGGTTGGCTGGACCCGTGAGGGAGCTGTCGTGTTCTTTTGATGGTGCGGTTTGTGGTCAGTCTCATGATGCAGTGGGGATAGTTATTCGGGATGCAACAGGAGCCGTCGTGTTGGCGAAAGGGGAACGTTTGGATGGAGCGTTTGAGCCAGCGGTGGTGGAGTTTATTGCTCTTCGGGAGGCTATGTACTGGTGCATAATGAGGGCTGGGGATCAATGCTGATTTTGGGGGATGCAAAAGTTATAATTGATAAGGTGAATGCGCTGGAGGTGCGGGACGCCAAGGGTGGAGCAATCCTTCAGAAAGTTAGGCTTTTCGGCATATGTTCCCGGGGTTTAGAGTGCAGTTCGTTGGTAGGCAGAACAATAGGGTTGCCCATTTGGTGGCAAGGAAGGCCCTAGATTTGTCGGCTAGTGCTGTGCTAGGTTTGATTTTTGCGCTTGGCTCCGTACGGAGTTGTAAACGTTCGATCTATCTTTCTCTTGGTAATACAAGCTATCTTTGGTTAAAAAAAAGAGACAACTCCTTAAATAGGTCAATAATTATTTTTTTGGTAAAAACATTGTCCATCTTGGCAACTTGAGATCTCTCCAAGAGGTTATGTGACAAAATTAATTTTGAATTGTATAATATTATAGATAGATTATGTGGAGGTTCTCCAGCAGCCACTCAATCTTCTTTTTCCTGGCTCATACGCACTTGAAGGAAGGATCATTTGGTCTTTTGCCTTTAATCCTGATTTAATTCAGATGGGCTTCAGGCTTACTACCTATTTCCAAGCAGCGAAAAATCAAGAGTGTAATTATTGTTATTATATTCTAGGCCTGTGGCTATTGTTACACGCGGTAGTCAATTAAAATTTTGTGATTGAGGATGATTAGTTACTAGATAAAAGGTTGGGTAGTTACTAAACTTTTCAAGATTATTGATGGTTAGTTAATTAAAGGAGCATATTATTTTTAGGGACATCCCTCGCTGGATCTGACCGGCTCCGACCACGGGGACGGCGGCGGAGTTGAGGACGATGAGGGGGTTCCGGTGACGTCATAGTTCGACGTCGAATCGGAAAGGGCCATCCATGACTCTTCCGACGCGGATGCGGACGCTGGTGTGGTTGCATTTGGGAGTGGGCGAGCGGGCGCGGGTAGTCGCGGAGTATTGATTATCAGACGCGGTAGCAGTGGGAGATCTGGAGGCGGCAATCTAGCCGCGGGATCTGAAGCGCAATGCGAGCCACGCTGTACTGCGGGTGACTGAGGCGGTGAGCCGCCTGGGATTCCGGGTGTAGGCGAGGCCTACACCATACTAGACTGGGCGGAGATGTGGGCTAGCTTCCACCCTGCCCTTTGGGCAGGAGGCATTTATATTTATATTTTATTATAGTATAATCTCATTTTATGTAATTTATGAATATATGTGATAGTATAGCAAATTCTAGCTAATGGCTGACGTAGGCTGTATATGTGTTCATACCTATTAAGTATACTTTAATATGTTTCAACGAATCACAATGATCAATTATTATTTTTAGATTAATCAATTTAATGGTTTGTGTTAGAGAATTAGGAATTGAGGTTTACCATTAGAGATTACGATAGAGTATTATGTTCCAAACCCCGGTTAATTTATGTTCTAAATATAAGAACTCAATGAGCGTTTAGTAAGGTTAGCATATGCTTTATCTTATTATTATTTCAAAATAGTGAAAATGTTCCGATAATTTATTCAAATCAATTTTTCACTATTTTAATATGATAATATATTGAATTTAATATATTAAAAAATCAATGATTGAAAAACCGTACTACAGATTGTACCGAAAAATTATGTGGTAGAGTATTTTATACTAAAACTGTGGTTCAACCGTTTTATACCGCTAAAAACCACCCACTGAATTAGCATCTTGTAGGAGATTTTTCTGGTCGAACCGCCAGTATGCTACGATTTTTTAATTCTTGTAAAAACATGTATATATACATATAGTGTAAAAAAAATTATAATTAATTTATCTAACTCCCTTATTAAAAATCGTATAATTATCCATACATTTTGACAATATTTTATAGATGTATTTAAATATCGGTTATCCCTTATGCCATATCATAAAAGAAAAGGAGTTTGGAAATGGTTCTAATTTGTATATGCTCGAGTCGGGACAACAGCAAGTCAGTAACCCATTACAAAGGGGAAGGAAAAATAAAAATAAAACACATTTAAAATTTGAAGTGGGCGACGTAGGTGGTATGAGAGAAAAAGAAGAAAAAAAAATGAAAGGTAATTCCGAAACATGCGGGGAAGCGTAGACGGCTGATGTGGCATGGGTCGGTTTTACAAACCCTTTTAATATATTGTAAGATATAATAATAATAATAATGAACATAGTGAAGACAGATATGGCCCGTACCACAATGCAGTTGTTCTCGGAAGAAGCAAGTGCTTCCATATCATCAACATTGTTAAGGGCTCTGTAGAGATACATCAGTAGTGTGTCCACACCCTCCCTCACCAGCAGAGGCAACTCTTTTACACGAGATATCTCCAGGTATCTGATTCAAAAAGCTGCTTTGGGTTACAAGCAACCACAATTGCAACAATTATAACATACAACTGAAAAACATGTAAATAGTCTACAGAAACATGTCAGACCTGATGATGCTTTTGATTGCCAATTCAAGAACTTCAGCTCTGTTTGGTGGATTCAGGAGAAAATTTTCATCCACAACAGTATCTACGCCAGCCTTTTTTAGAAAAACAGCCCGTTGGATAGCAGTCAAGCCATCATCTACAACATCCTCAAGTGGTGCAGGAGGAGGATGTAAACCCCAGTATCTGTTTCTAGGAACCTGAAAGGCAAGGTGAAAATAAAAGTATACCGGTAAGAACATTGCAGCCTTTCATCCTCTAATTGAACTGTTACACCATAAAAAAACATAACTAAAACAGACCATGCATCCAATAATTGCTCAAGCATACTGCGCAGGACCTCAGGTATATCCTATGTCCTTCTATCATCATTCACAATGTTCCACTCATTTTCTATGGCTCAACACCACAACCATGAAAGTTTAATCAAGTGGTATTTTGAGTATGATCTAATCTACAAGTCTCCTCCTTGTAGAATTTGAGATCACAGAACTACTCTGAATTCATGACACTATGAACATACATGTTCACTACACCTAGTTCCGTGTATAAAATTACAAACTTACAGCTGTTACTAGCTTGATTTTAAAGAACCCCCCCCCCCCCCCCCCCCCCAACACATATGATATGAGGGTGAATCCTAAATGGAGTGCTGAAGTACAGAAGTTCAAATTGCCCCAATCCATTTTCCAGGACAGTAGTTCTAGATGAGAAAGAAATAATAGGATGGTGAAAAGGAACAAGTTAACTTTGATGCAGAAGAGCGATGGTGAGAGAAGCACAGGATCACCAATGATCTGACTGGGAGCAACAGGATGGCTATGTCAACAAAGACTTCACCAATCACAATCTTAGACAGCCTCAGACAGTACCTAACCCCTCCTTGAGAGCAGTAGTTGCACGGACGTTTCGTTAACAATTTCCGGTACTTGGTAATGCATTACCACTTCGGACCACTATCAACAAATGACATCATAGTGATCCTAGATAGTTGATGGTCAAACTATGATTAGAACAATCAACGATAACCACTTAATCACGTTTTTGTTGCCACACTTCTCGCAGTATACCCCATTCAAGGATTGCATCAGATAGGACACATCTGTCAACCAGATTCAGCTTCAGTAATTGTTTCATGGTTTCTCATTAACATTTCCAGAAGACAAATTCTTCTTCTGTCCTTAGATATTTTGCATCACACACCCGCTTTACCCCTTTAAATCCATTTCAAGTTACTCGAAAAAGTAAAAGGATGTTGTCAGCCCATACCAGATTTGTAAGGAAAATGTTGCAATATAAGTCTTTTATATAAGAATTTTAACCAACAACAATCATACAGACCACTTTTTCATAAAACAGAACAAACAAAATTATAATGTACAATTATCATATGGATAAAATAAGAGGACATACCAGCAAAGACCAACGGTTCGGGTCTCGCAAGATAAATGGGAAAAGCTCAGATGGCTGCATTGTTTCTGATTGCAAAAAGTGATCAACTGCCTCCTTAAAATGCAGGTCAAAAAGCAAGAGGAACCCCACTTGAGCATGTATGAAGGACAGCATATCGTTTCTCAATTCGCCTTCACATTTGAGCTCCTCTACTAAAGCCATTGCTTCTTTGAAGTTTTTCTTTCTCAGTAGATCTTTAATTTGTTCTTCATAAGGCACCTTATGATAACAGATAACCTATGAATAAGGCAAATGATTAGAGATTATTGTTAAAAAATGTCTCTTAAACTTGCTTACATCAATAACATAGTCATTGCAAAGTCCTCCACATTATTGTTCCTGTTTTTCAGGATCCAATTTCTAAATGATTTTATAAGGAGAAACATTTTGTTCACAAACTAGCAGCGGACAACACACTCTATGTTCGACTAACAAAAACAAATGGCTCACAATTATATTGCAACAAGCTAGATCTGCCTATGCTGGTTGGGACGGTTCTAGAGTTTGATAAAAATTGAGCATGGGACATTTGAGATTGTGGCTTCATATCAAACTCCACAAGCAAAAACACTGTATAGATTAATTCTTAGTTAATTATAGTTGCTTACATGTTTATGATTAAACTGTTTGATATGCACTCAAAGCCAGCGGTTCCTTAACATGAACAGTTGAAATTGAAGTGTCAAAATCTGAAGCTGAATGAACAGAAGTATATACCTTAGTAGACGTTGCTATGGTAATCAGTTTACTGTCCCCACCTTCCTCGCCTGCTATTAAACAAGGCCCAACTCCTTCCCCTCCATATACAACCGTCTGAACACAACTACCTGATTTCTTATGATACAATTCCAACTTTCCATCCCTCACAATAACAACATAAGAAGACAACTCTCCAACTGATTGAGGATGGCCACGGAAAACCAAGCTCCCATCAACTGGCTGACCATGATCATTAACAACAACTCCAACATTGTCAACCAACAACAAGACCTTCTTCTCTTTCCACAACACTTTTAGCAATGGCGATCTAGAAGAATCGGGCAAGCTGAAGATAACCTCACTTTGCCCAGTGACACAGGAAAATAAGCTATACCCCATCATTGTACCAACAATTATCGAGTCATTGAGCCATGCAATCGTTTTAACCCCTTCAACACTACTCTGGATCTCTTTCAGCATCACAAAAGAACCATTCAAACCGCTAGCACCACCTTCATGTTTCACTGTTCTGGAATCGCTGCCAAATACAAGCTCTACCAATACGATCTTTTTACCAACCGCAACTGCAAAAACGTTACAGTTGCCTTCAACTTGTTGGGTGGAGTCTCTGGTTTTCACTCCGTTAGCTCTAACCCCGCCGCCCAATTTCTGCAAAATGCGCAGACTCGCACTCGAAGATTCCGAATTGGTCGTAGTAGCCAAGATACTCAATATGTCAGAGCTACACGACTCGTCACTGATGATTCTCTTCGCAATTGCAGAAACTCCCTTAACCAAACTCAATTTCTTGAGCTGCTGATCCAATAGCGAGTCGGTCAAAAACAAGGAACCGTCGCAGAGAACTAGAAGTTTCCCAATCTCACCAAGGACCAGCACTGTTTCCACAGGAGAATCCCCAACTGAAACACTCCGCATAAAGGAAATTTTCCTCTTGGAATCATCGTCGCGGTCGTCGGGAGTCGCAGCACGGTTAGACGCGGAGACGGAATTGGTGGCAAGCAGGAGTAAGGATCCGGAGTACGTACCGATGTAGATTAGAGTTGGGGAATCGGGGCCGGAAGAGACGGCGATGGAGCGAATTGAAGTGCGAGAATGGGCCGAGATATCGAAGGTGGACAGAGGTTCCAGCACGGTTCGGGCCATGAGATCGTACTTGACCATGGATGTAGACTAAAGATTTCTCGCGCGAAGCTGCTGTGCTAAGGTTTTGAAAGAGAGACGACTTCGGAGAGAACGGCCATCGATAATTCAGAAGGCAGCCATCACGGATCAGCTTCCAAGTTCCAATAGCTTGCTGCTGAGTGGAGAGCAGAGTAGCAGACTATCCCCTTCTGTTTCGCATTAGGTGGGTTCTTCACTTCCTCTGGGTTAACTAAGTAGTATGTGTAAGGAAGTGGTTAAGCACCATACACGGGCCTGTATAGGTTGTTGGGAGATGTACGGTATGTACATGGTATTCGATTTTTGGGTACATTTGATTCAGGAAGCAACCCACTTCGGCTTTTGGGTAAGTGGTTACTTTTTTCTTTAAGTGAATGTAAGTGATCACGGTAACACGTTAGGCGAATCTCACATCAACAAAGTATGGGAGAGATCTATGGTTCATAAATAAGAAATCGAATTTAACTGACAAGACGTGTTTTGGGGTGAAATGGATGAATTCTTATAAGAACTTTGAAGTTAAATGTGCTCAGTGTGGACTCTGGAGTACAACAAGAATGGGTGACTTTATGGGAAATCACCTTGAATTGCACCCCAAATCAAAAGCGGATAATATCTTCGTTAGAAAAGGTTTGGGATGTTAGTATGTTACAAGTGGTATCAAAGCTTCTATGCGTCTCTCTTGAATGATGGTGGGGCAAACCTCAACGAGGGCGTTGAGTTCCAGGGGGTGTATGTAACACCTTAGGCGAATCCCACATCTACAAAGCACGGGAGAGATACATGGTGCATAAGTAAGAAATCGGCTTTAACTGACAAGACGCGTTTTGTGGTGATTTTATCACCTTGAATTGCACACCAAATCAAAAATCGTGGTGGTCAAGACCCAAAGCGGACAATATTTTCGTTAGAAAAGGTTCGAGATCTTACAATCAGAGCCTCTCTGCGTCCCTCTTCAACGATGGTGGGGGCAAACCTCAACGAGGGCGTCGAGTCTCAGGGGGTGTATGTAACACCTTAGGCAACTCCCACATCGACAAAGCACGACGAGAGAGATCCATGGTTCATAAGTAAGAAATCGGCTTTAACTGACAAGGCGCGTTTTGGGGTGAAATGGTGGAGTTTTTGTAAGATTTCCGAAGTTAAACGTGCTTAGTGTGGAGTACAACAAGGATGGGTGACCTTATGGGAAGCCACCTTGAATTGCACCCCAAATAAAAAAACGTGAGTGTCGAGACTCAAAGCGGACAATATTTTCGTCAGAAAAGGTTCGCGATGTTAGAGTTACTTCGACTTTCGTATCATAACTTGGCCGATGCATTTGTCCTTTTTTTGGATGAATCTCTCATTTTATTATATTCCTGGAGTCTCTACTGCAGCAAATATATCCAATCTCGTTTCATGAACTTATAACAATCCTTCATGATAGTTCTGCATAAGTTGAACATAGAGGATGACAATTTGAACCCACCCTGTCGGGTATTACCCGATCTGTAGTAGCGTGGGACGGGACATGCGTATATACTTTAGACCTGTTGTGCCCCGTTATTGGCCCATTTTATGTCAATTTTTTACAGTATCAATACATATTTATCCTATTGTGACTTTTCTTCAACTAGTTAGACTCAATTTCACATTCTATCATCACTATTTTTCATTCATAAAGTGCTTCCCCCTACGTTTTAGCGTAAAGAGTAAAATTTAGCGTGTGTTTTTTCAAATAACATGTAAGGGTGGGTCGACCAACCCCGACCCATATCCGCGCGGGTATTACCCGACCCGACCCGCACTAGCATGGGACGGGGCATGGGTATTGACTATTGAGGTACACGTCTCGTCCAGCCCCATTGCCAACACTCTCTGGAGTATTTGAGTGGGTTATTTGTGAGTTATTTGGTTTCAAATACCTCACAATGAGTTAATTGGACACAAATAACCCACTTAGCAGTACTTTACTGAAATGAGTTATTTTGGCAGTGAGTTATTTGAAATAACTCATCCCCCTGTGTTATTTCGAAATAACTCATTTTACCACTCTGCTTTTACCAAATATCACATTTGCATGGTTCTACCAAACGAGATACTTTAATCCAATTACCATTGAAATAACACTTAAATACCACATGAACAATTAATGATTAATCCATCCAAACTACTTGAAAATCTTCAAGATGAAAATTTCAATGTCACTCCCACTTTTGATAATCTAAGAAACATGTCGGTAGAAACCTGAGTTTTTATGGTAGTTATCATAAAAGGTCACACAACTTGTCACTTAGTGCAAAACGGTCACTAAACTTCATTTTTGCACGTTTCAGTAAAATATCTTTGGACGAATACCAAAATGGTCATTCCGTCCGATTCCATCCAAAAAACCGTCATTTAAGTCCAATCAGTTTGACACGTCACTCCAAAAAATAATAAAAAATGGACACATCAGACCAACTTAACCAGCCGACTCAACCCACGCCCGCCCACCCAACCTAGCCGAAGACAAAATGTTTGTTTATTCAGTAATCATCATATCATATGGCGGTGACGCAACAGCCGCAAGGCTGTTATACATAAAAAAATAAGAGCTCAACAGCTCTCGATTCACTATACGCTGCTTCAACTAAGTGACCCACCACTCCCACTCCCACCCCCAATCTTATTCTCATTGTTCTCCTTCCCTCCGTTCGCCGTCGTTTCTCGTTCGCCACCGCTTGGATTTTCATTCCAATTAGGGATTTGAGTTTTAATTTTGGTTTGCATCTCTCTTCCCTTCAAGGGGATTTGTTTGGTTAGGGGATTTGTACTTGTGTAGTCATGAGCTCCATTGCCGGTAGTAAATGGGACGATGAAGACGGCGAGTATTGCATAATCAGCGATAAAGGCGAAATTGGGTTCATCAATTATCAGGAAGACAAATCCATTTGCAATTATGACCCAACAGGGGATGGTCTCGTCGCGATCTCCTTCCCGTTCCACGTGCAGGACGTGAAACTGCAGTCGGTTTCCGTGGGAAAAACGGTCGCCGCTCCCATCACCATTAGGAACTCCACAGACGAAGTCGTCGAGCTAGTGGCCAAAATCTACGCCTTTACTACTGTGGATTCCTTCCAGCTCTCCCTGATGAAGCCGCTTCCCTCCACCAGAAATGTTGCTGCTAACGCCGCCGACGGGTGGGTTGGGTGGGTGAGTTGGAGTTGGGTGGGCTGGTTCAGTTGGTCTGACGTGTCCATTTATTTTTATTTTTTGGGGTGACGTGTCAAGCTGACTGGACTTAATTGACGATTTTTCGGATGGAATTGGATGGAATGATCGTTTTGATATTCGTTCAAAGGTGTTTTACTGAAACGTGCAAAAATGAAGTTTAGTGACCATTTTGTACTAAGTGACAAGTTGTGTGAACTTTTATGATAACTACCCGAGTTTCTATTGATCTACATCTACACAATATATTATGCACTTCACTCTATATTGTTATTGCCATGTTACACTTTGATTGGTTCTCCTTATTTCATGGAAGGGCAATATACTACCTCGGCTTTGAATACTGATGTTGTATTTGGTTTGGGCCTCATGATGTGTCTCATTAAGTTTCTAATTGGAACATTTTTTATAATCTTAACTTTGTTTGGGCTTAATGACCGCACTACATTTCTAACCCTTTATTCTGACTAAATTGGTTTGCTTTCGCAAACGTATTTTTCCAACCGATTTTTTTGGTAATCCATTCAATGGGAACAACCCTTGGTGTACTATTTTGTACCTTAAACCATTTATCAGCCCTTAAAAGTTAAAATCAATCGAATGTTGATTCAAAGTGACTTCAACATACATGAAGATCAAGAAAATTGGGAAATGTGGGCAAAATAAAATACACGGCTATTGCTCATAATTTAAAAAAAAAAAACCAATCGAATGCTTAGGCATAGCCTAATTAATAAATTTCATCCATACCAGATAATATCAATATATGGATCAAATTAGATCAAACCAAAAATAATTTAACTGATCAAATGTGCTTTTGACTTTCATATTTAATTTTCACATATTTTTTGTTTCATTCTATCATATGATTGATTTATTGGGATCATGAACCATAAAAAACTAGGCAATTGCGAAAAGTTTTTATTAGAAAAGTATGAAATTAAAAATTTAGCCAACAGAGCAGCTTAAATGTATCTTCAACCTAATTAGACTATTATATACATGTGCCTATTTTACAGGAATGAATATACAGGAATGAATAGTTCCATAAACGATTCACCAATAATTGTATATCAATAAACCATTAATCTTGATTTATTAACATTTTTCATCCTAAATATGTTCCGGTTCTGAAAACATAATTTATGGTTAATAGAATATTTTGAAATATGGGTATATTGTTAAAGGTTAAAATAATATTTTGCTACTTCAACTTGAAATAGAGAAATAACCTACAAAATTTTACATCCATATTCTTTTGTTAGTATAATGCATTTTTTTATCTTTCAACTATGCAAATGTAATACATCTATACTAATATTTTTGGGTCTTAGTTAATTTTTAAATCTGTCCAACAAAATATTTCCATACCACATTTGTGCTCTGTCCCTCCTTGGATTTTTTGTGTCTTTCAATTGTAAAAATGTAATACAAATATACTAATATTTTGTATATTTGTTGATTTTCGATTAAAATCTACAATATGTAAATCAAAATAGCAATATATTAAGAAAATTTCTAAGTTTCATTTGCAAGCTACTTATTGGCTAATTATCATAAATGGTCAAAAAAATTTGCATTTATTACAAAAAAGTCACAAACCTTTAATGTTTTTTGGTTTCACTAAGCAATCCACGAACCCACGACTCACGAGTAGGGGTGGGGCATTAGTCGACTCGGTCTAGAACTGGATCGTATTGAAATAGGACCAGACCAAAAACAAAGGCAAAATGAGGACCATAACCGAATCAAAAGTATGTTTGGTCCATTTGGTTTGCCGCGGTACGACCCAAATTCAATTTCGG